AGCATCCCAAGGACGGGCCCTTTTGCCAGGGCAAGTTGAAGCCTCTGAAGCAAAGCAGTCCTGAGGCTTGAGATAATGGGGTTGGGTGCTGGTGGTGGGGAAGTTGTAGCAGAGTTTGAAGCCCCATGGAGAAGAACGTGAAGAAGTCAGGAGACCAGAAATACAGGGCTAGTTGTAAAGGTTTAATACCATACAGGAGGAAGCAGATAGTCAGGAGATGGAAAAAAGTAGTTGCAAAGAGTTTTCTCCAACTGGGTCTAAGGGGATCCTTAATTTTTTGTCTTTAGCCCTTTGGTGTCCTTCTAGGAGTTAGAGAAGGCCGGTGACTAAGGAGATGGTAAAACCCAGAAGAACAGGACTAGAAGAGTTGAAAAATGGGTATAGTGACAAGAGTTTCTGATTCTCCCTGCGGTATTGTCGCAACTGGACAGCCTTACTTATTCCCGGAGGGCTGTAGAAAACTGAGGAAGGCAGCAGGGATTCAGATAAGGCCACAGGAAAGCTAAACTGTAGAAGGGAAGGATTGACAGGATATTTTTGCAGCAGGAAAACGATAGAAAAGTAAACAAAGTGGTTGATAAAGACAAAAACTGCTGGGGTCAGGGGAGGCAATGAATGAAGAAGAGTCAACTCAAAGAACAAGTACAAAGGAAACGCTTGAGGATGATGAAGGCGTTACCAGAGCGGTTCCAAAGAGCAGTCAGAGAGTTAAGTGAAAACTCAAAGCACAAAAATATCCAAAAAATGGGGAGAAATGAGAGCTGTTTAAGGAGAAGTCAGTCTGACGTGAGTAGACAATTTAGAACCAGAGCTAGGCATTCTCTAAAACAGTTAACTCCCTGAACAAAGGAACATTCAGGCAGCATTTTGGAGCAGTCCCACAGAGCTCAGAGGAGGGGTGTGATATGAAACAGGGGGTTGTGGCAGAGCCTACTGGATTGAGGAGAATGCAGATACATGGATGTTTGAGCGTTTCAGGAGAAGAATTTCCCTTTGTGATTCAAGTATGTGTGGGGGGGACCCAGCTTAGTGAAGGTTGAAGAGGGAGTCCTAGGTTCAAAGGGAAAATGGTATGACATCAAAATGGAAAATTTGAGAGGGGAAAGGTAATAGGGGGCGTCTCTCCCCCAGACTAGGGTTACAAGGTGCCCTGCTGCCTCAGTGGAGAATTAACAGTTTTTAGAATAGGCTTGAGAATCCTAGAAGGGGAATGATGTAAGAATGGGAGGTGGGGGGAGGGAAATAAAATCAACTTTTCTTAATGTCATTGAAAGTATGAGAATGAATAAGGCTGGAAGCAGGAAGGATTTGGGCATATCTATTCCAACAATAAATATTGATAATATTAAGAAAGACAAAGTACACAACTATATTATACTTTAAGTGACCAAAGAAAATGAAAAAAAAAACCCAAAACAAAACAATTAAGTGTAAATGCACCAAATGAAATAGGGTTGAAGTTCTTAAAAGAAAAACTTGGTGAATTTTGAAAAGATATTAATAGTAGCACAATAATAGTAAGAGACTGATGATCTATCACATCTGAGAAGATACAACAGGAAAAGCAATGAGAAGGAAAATACAGAGCCTAGTAGATCGTGGGAAATATTGCCTTTTACTGGCCTGTGGTGCCTTTGAATTGGGAACACCAAAGAATACATGTATCTCAGGATCCTATAGTGCTTTTTACAAAAAGTAACAATTTTTAGTCCTCAGAGGTATCACAAGCATGTGTAAGAAGGAAGACAGAAATTACGTGTATCTCTGTCATACACTGTAATACAATAAAAATGGTCCTAAAGGACATACAATTATACAGACCTAAATGGAGGCTAGAATCATAAGATCATGGGATCATATACTGGGAGGCAGAAGGGATTTCACAGGTTATTTAGTTCAACTCCTTGCTTTACAGATGGAACAAATGAAGCCTAGAGAGGTATCACTATAATAGTAAGTGTAGAGCTAAGTAATGACATCCTGAATGGGTGGGTCAATGAGCAAATCATAGAAGCAATAAATTGTTTTTTAATTATAGTGATAATAATGAGACAATACATCTAAACTTACGGGTTGCAGCTATGAATTGCTCCAGGCATTCTGAATATCAGTGTGTGGGAAAGTGACTATCTACCATATGACCCAGTGAACCTAGCCAAAGAAAGTCAAAGGCAGAAAGAAGTATCCAATATATGCAAAAATATAACAATAATAAAAACAAGCACCATTCTATAATTCTTTTAATTTTACAGAATGTTTTGCATATTTTTCTCATTTTAATTTCACAATAACTGCTTGAATTAGGATGCTGTTATTTTTCCATTTAACAGATGAGGAAATTAAGACTAAGAGAGGTTACATGACTTGGCCAGGGCTTCATGGCTAATAAATGCCTGAAGTTTGATTTAAACTCAGTTCTTCTTTACTCCAGGACCAACACCCTATCCATTGTGCCACCTGACTGCCAGTTGTAAAAATATCCTTTGTATTAGAAAGGAAGTGGAAACAAAGCAGGCACCCATCAGTTATGGAGTGGATGAAAAAAACTGGTTTATAAAACATAATTGAATACTATTATGATGCATATGAAGGAAATGATGCATATGAAGATTTCTTAATTAAAACAAATAGAGCAGGGTTTCTGCTCCCCATAAACAAATGAAAACTTAAAAAGTAAAATAGCAGTACAAGGCAAAAGTAGTTAATTGCCAAATGAGTGATACAGACAGATGGATTTAAGATAAGTTGAACAAGTGGCATTGTTGCTATTAAGCAGGTTATGATTGTTGTAGAAGACAAATTTAACTCCTATAGGAGACACATTTTTGCTCCCTTAACTCTGGGGAAGCTAGGTGTTAGAGTGGATAGAACTCTGGATCTTGAGTCAGGAAGACAGAAATTCAAATCCAGCATTAGACATTGATTACCTGTGTGACCTTGGGCAGGCCGCTTGACTGTTGTTGGTCTCAGTTTTCTTATCTGTACAGTGGAGTTACTAATAGTTCTTACCTTATAAGGTCGTTGTAAGGACCAAATTAGATAATATTTATCAAAGTGCCTAGCAGAGTGCCTGGCACATAGTAGACACCATATAAATGTTAGCTGTTGCTATTGTCATTGCTACTGTTATGCCATTATTGATAAGACTCGCCCTGTAGGCATTCCTTTATGAAATTTCTATTCAGATAAAAAAAATAGGTGGAAACCAAGTTGATATGCATATTGACAGTCACCCTGGTAGCAAGGTCATCTTTTCATGTTGGAGGATGATTATTGTTTTTAATTATTAAACAACTGTCATTTGGAAGAGGGATAAGACTTACCCTGCTTAACCCTACAGAGTTAGGAGCAATGAATCAACTTTTCAGCTTGATGTAAGGAGAAACTTTCTAGCGGTTAGATCTCTCCGTTCTTGAAGTGGGCTGCCTTGGGCAAGAGTACATGCCCTCCCACTGGAGGCCTTCAAATTGAGTCTAGATGGCCATTTGTTAGAGGAATCATAGAAGAGATTACTAATCATTCAGGTGTAGATTAGGCTCCATCACCTTTGAATTCTTTTTTTGGTTCTAATATATGATGAGATATGATCATGAGAAATGCTGTTTGGTAGGTATTAGGAAATTCTTTTGATGGAGGGTATTTAACATCAAACCAAAGAGGTGACATTTGATTTAAAAAGCATCAGAGAGCCACAGAGGCTTCTTGACTGGTGGAATGACTGGAAGAAAATGATTTTTGAAAGGTATCCTGGTAGTGGTGTGTAGAATAAACCAGAGCAGGTCTCAGTCTTTGTAATGGCTATGGAAATGTAGGAGGATTAAATTTCAGAGATATAAGAGCAAAATAGTCAGCAAGTTTGACTTAAAGATTGTGAGGGACATAGAAGGGAGGGAAGTTGAAGACTTCAGGATTTTGAGGCCAGGGGATTGAGAGGATGGTGATGCTATTGATGTGGTTGGGAAACTTCAGATAGACTTTTTGGGTGTTTTTTGTTTGTTTGTTTGTTGCTTTTCACAAATTGTCACCATCTTAGAACTTATAAATCTAAATAATATAAAATTTATTTTAGTGGACTTTTTTTGGGGGGGAGGGGGGATAATCTTTGTTCTTTACAAATACTCCCCTATCTTGGGCTTTGTTTCTCAGCATAAGGTCATCAGGCAGATTATTGCCAGCTTTCTTCACCTCAAGGACTGTACATTGTGTGCAAGCTCAAGGAATAACTGACCTGAAGTCCTGAAGAGCCATAAACTTCTGATATCTGTAGTCCCTTGTTTTGGGTACTGTCCACTTAGGATCTTAGGATTCTAAGTGATGTAAAGTAGAAAGAGCCTGGACACTGGAATTGGAAGACTTTGGTTTGCGTTTAGCTCTTCTTAACACCTGTATCATCACTTTGGATGAATCATTTGACCTCCGTAGGGTCCCTAAGTTTCCTCATCTCTACAATGAGGGGTTTGGACTAGATGGTGAGGGCCATCTAGTTTGAAATCTGTGATCTTGTGGTTTCAGAGTCATGTTAGATCCTTACTGGAAGGGACCGTGGAATTCACTAAGTATTCTTTATTTTATAGATCAAGAAACTCAGCTCTGAATTCAAAAGTGACTCTTGTTCCAAGTCATTGGGAAGCAGGCTGTTATTTGAGCCTATGATTTCTGATTCTGTGATACAACCTCTTTAATTGGGAGCAGCACAGTTGGGGATAGCTTAAGTTGGTCTAAAACTAAATAGATATCTGGAAGTTAAAATTTTTGATTTTGTAAATATTTGGTCTTGTTTTTGAGGTAACCTCTGGCTGTATTTGTTACTCAGGACTGTCTCATAAAATAGTATTTTCAGATCACGAGCTTAGCAGCCAGAGAAGACCTTCTGACTTTGCTCATTGCAGTGGCGGTGCTCTTTGGGCTAGATGTTATGGGCACCATTTTTGTGCTCCCTCTAAGTGTGCCCATAAAGCACATTCATCTCACGCAGGGCTTTTTTGGGATGTGTTTTTCAGGTCACCTTTTTTATAAATTTGGAATCACAGAATCTGACTGGTATCGAATCAAGCAGAGTATTGACTCCAAGTGTAGGACAGCCTGGCGGCGAAAACAAAGAGGGCAGAGTCTTGCAGTCAAAAGCTTCTCCAGGCGGACACCTTCTTCATCATCTTATAGTGGCTCAGGTAACAGTTGTCAGAAATTGAATCTTTTGTTAAGTTTTTTATGTTTATGATTTTATTATGCTTTCAAATTAATTTGAGACTGATTCTACCTATCTAGCCAGCTTCATGGTAACCATTCATATTTGTATATGATACTTTATAGTTTGCAGATCACTTGACTTTGTTGGTAGGTTAAGTTTTATTACCCTCATTTTCCAGCTGATGAAACTGAGGCCCAGAGGTTAAGTGACTTTGACTATTCTCACACAACTAGCCAGTGGCAAAGCCCAGAAATTCTCTTTGATTCTTAGATTCTTCCCTCATTTTATTTTTAAATATTTTTTTCTAACCATCAGTGAACTGTTAACATCTATTTCATTGAAATATCTAGAGTCAAAAATTCTAATTTATTAGGTAGCCACATAGGATCATACTTTATTTAAATTATTAAAAATTCAAACTAATCCATCAACAAAAATCAAATACAAAATGAGGCAAAATTTTAGAAGTACCTCCTTAATAAGGTAGAAACGAATGAATTAACAAACAAGCAAATAAAGGGATTTTGTTAAATGTCCCCTTCCTGAGACTGCCCAAAGTTCTACTTTTGACCCAGGTTTCCTTCTTCCCTCCTTTTCTTTCTTTTCTTTTCTTTCACTGTTTAATTGTAGTCCTGGCTCTGCTGATTCTGCTATGCAGTCCCTTGTATAGGTCTCTATATTTCCTTGTTTGCTTTGTACTTACTATTCCTTCCTGCATTCTCCTGACCGTAGGATCTTTCCTTCTGACTTGGTGCCTCCTATATGTGTTGTTCTGTTCCCCAGTAGTGTGTTAGTTCCTTGGCAGCAGGGACTGTATTGTCTTTCTCTTTCTGTCCCCAGCTTTTAGCTCAGTGTTTTGCATATAGTAAGAACTTAATGAGCTCTTTCTTTGCTTCTTTCATTCTCCCACCCTTTCCTTTCCTTTCCTTTCCTTTCCTTTCCTTTCCTTTCCTTTCCTTTCCTTTCCTTTCCTTTCCTTTCCTTTCCTTTCCTTTCCTTTCCTTTCCTTTCCTTTCCTTTCCTTTCCTTTCTTTCCTTTCCTTTCTTTCCTTCCTTTCCTTTCCTTTCCTTTCCTTTCCTTTTTCCTTTCCTTTCCTTTCCTTTCCTTTCCTTTCCTTTCCTTTCCTTTCCTTTCCTTTCCTTTCCTTTCCTTTCCTTTCCTTTCCTTTCCTTTCCTTTCCTTTCCTTTCCTTTCCTTTCCTTTCCTCCCCTCCCATCCTTCCTTCTTTCCTTCTTGACTCAGTAAGTCCTTTCCTCTCCTCCCCTCTCCTACTCTCTCTTCTCTTAATTCCTTCTTTTCTCTCCCTCATTCCGTCCATCTCTTTTTTCTCCCTCTCTTGTCCTTCCCAACACTCCTCCTTTCTCCTTCTCTCTCCTTCCCTGGGTTACTGAGCAGTTCTGGGCATTGCTAATGGTCACCCAGCTAGTATGTCCACCCAGCATTCTGGGGAACTTCTTTATATGTTTTTGAATCAGAAGAATGCCAGTGTAGCATGTAAGCTGTCTATATGCTTTGCTTCACTTTTACCCATCTTCTTGGATTGTGTTTAATGACATCTTTTGTACTGTGATTTTGTACTGTGATATACTTTCTGTGTGATTCTTTGTCATGTGTTGTATCCTGTCCAGATCTACCAATGACTCTCCATTTTCCTTTGGATGATCCTCAACTTCCATTCTTTGAAAATTGTACTACTCCCTGCTTCATCGCCATGTAACGTGGCTGGAAAATGCCTACAGCTGTTCTCTAGTTGTTGGAAGTATAGGCAGTTTCTACGTTTGTTTGTTTTTTTTCTCCCTTTTTTAAATTATGGATATAGCGACTGTGGATATAATTGCCTAAAACCACAGTTATTCACACATCTATTTGTAGAGAGAAGCCTTTTTTTTTTTTGATGATTTTTTGGGCTAGAGTCTTAGCAGTAGACTTACTGAGTCAAGAGGTATAATCTGACTCTGCATAATGGCTTATTGCTCTCCAAAATGTTTACATCGATTTGTAGTCTTGCAGATAGTACATCGGAGGGCTTCTTTCCCACTAGAAAGATCCTGGCAGTACAGAGCTCTACCATTTTTTAAATTATTGAAGTCATTTTAATGAGTGAGAGTGGCCTTTCTTTGTTTTCCTCTGGGGAGAGAGGCAGTGTAGGACAGTGGAAAGAACACTGGATTTGGAGTCAGGAGGACTCAAATTCAGATCCTCATGCCTTCCTGAGACCTTGGGCAAGTCACTTAACTTTCTGGTCCTCAGTTTCTTTGTCTATCAGCAAAGGGGCTAGACTAGATAACTCTGAGGCCTCATCCATTTCTAAACCTGTGGTCCTGTGACTATTAGGGAATTTGAAAATGTTTTGATGCGATTACCAGCAGGTTCATGCTGACCATTCATTGCTTTGTTAAGCAATAGTTAGGTGTTAATTCCTTAGATTCTGGGTATCGTCAGTTCTTTGATGTATGAAGTCACTGAAAAATTTCTCCTAATTTACGTTTTTCCTTTTAATTTTATAGAAACTTGCTTTGTTGGGCAAGATCCTTTTCTGTTTACATAATCAAAAGAATTAAAGGTCTTTAAAAAGCAAGAATAGACCCTAAATGGGATGTGTACTGCACAGCCCTAAGAAAATTCCTATAAATGTCATCTATGTCAAATACAATTTAATTTCAAGTAAAAAAATGTATAGCTTGATGTATTTGGGAATAAGGGAAGTAATAACCTTTTCCTTTTCTTGATTCTCTCTTGGAGCATCATATGTTTAGAGTTCAGACTAAATATTCCAGTGATGTTTGAAAGGGGATTGGAAAATTTGTAGGTATTGGTCTCTAAACCCAGCCATGTCTTTGTTATAATTATATAAAAAAAGTAGAACTAAATGTTTTCTAAAGGGCTTCCTTACCCCACCCACCCCATCCTACCCTGCTTTAACTCATATGCAAGAAAATATTATATTGGGGTAGGATTTAACTTTTACTTTAAAAATGAGTGTCTGTCAGATGCCATATTCCTGTAAGTTTGCACAGCCACTGGTTATGCAACTTATCCCTAAAAGCAGTTTCCAGTGCAACTGGAAGTTGAGATTTCCCAGTAGACTTTTGATAATTTCTTTATACAAATCAGTTAAAATCTTCCTTTTAGTTCAAGCATATATCAAGTATTCACATTACTAAGGCTTCTGCTAATTTGACTCAGTGTTGAAATGGACAGAAGAGACGAAACAATGATATTCTATCAGATTAGGAATAATGGAATATGAGTGGAGAAAAATGTAATAAATAACATCCAAGCTAAGAACTCCCACACCCTCCCCCCAGTGATGAAAGTATTTTGATAGGTAATATTTCTTGTTATGGTCCTTTAAAAAAACAAACAAACAAACAAACAAATTCTTTGTATTTTCATCTGTGATGGTATATAAGAGAAGTTATAAAGAGAGATTGAATTTAGGTAATGGCAGCTAGGAGGTATAGGAGGTATATATGTGGAACAAAAAAGACCTAAATTCAAATCCTTCCTTAGACATTTATTAGCTGATTGTCCCTGGGCAAGTCACTGAATCATTATTAGCCTCAGTTTCCTTATCTGTAAAATGGGGATCATGATAAAACCTACCTTATAGAGTTGCTGAGGCTCAGATGGGAAGTGCTTTGCAAAATTTAAAGCATTATGTAAAGGTTATGATTATTGATGGGAGAAGTTTGGTGGAGTGGATGGTATGTTCCTCTGAGATTGAATCTAAAATGTAAAGGAACAACAAAGGAGAAAGTGTGAAAAGAGCAAGCCCTGAGGTAAATGGCAGCCAAACAGATGTCACTGGATTTCCACTCAAGCACATTTCCATTTAGTGGTGTGTATCCACACCCCAGAGTCAAAGTGTCAAAGTAGGCTTTAAAAATCAGGGATGATCATGGTGTTTGTAACAATCAGAAAACCTCACAGAGTGGAGCAGTCATTGAGTCCAAATTGCTCTGGTCTTTGGCTGACCTCACAGGTATAAATACTGATCAGATAAATCACAGTGTTGCAGGGGAATGCACTGAATAGAGGCACACTCTCTATTAGAAATGAATTTATTTTTGTAATTAAAAAAGAAAAGGGAACACCTTTTTGGAAAATTTAAGTTGTGGGCCGTGAATTTGAGTTTTGGTCAGTTACTGAAGTCTCTGGGTTTGAGTGCTGTTTGGGTTAGGTCTGTTCGTTGACACGGTCTTCACAGTTCTTCATGTCAGTCTTGAGTGTTCCACAATCCTGAGATTGGGTCTTTGAATGGGGGAGAAGGGGGGAGTGGGTGCCCTGCAGGTTCCGTTGAATCTAATATGCTCAGAAGTGTCTGTCAGCCCATACAGCACACAGCCAAAATGAGGTTATTGGCGGCGAGCGTCTCTGAAGCTCTGGGCTGTGTCCATCCTAGGCTCAGTGAGTTGAATTCTGAACCCGTCGAGTTTGTTGAGTACCAGAGCAGCTTAGGACATGCAGTAAGTGGAACGGCTGCTCTCCCTGCATTATTCTTCCTGTTGTTCAGCTCCTGAGGCATATGGTTGGCAGGTTTTGTTTGTAGAATGCCCAGAGCTTCATACAGTGAGTGGTGAACTCTTTCTTGGGGGCTCTTCCATCTGGTGATCCTGTTCTCAGCAAAATGAGAATCCTATTTAGACGTGATCATTAGCCAAGACAATGTGCTCACAAGCTTTAGGGCAGGCTTTTAAAAGTTAATTACAGTCTACTCATAAATTCATCTTTCATCTAGGGGATTTCGAAATACCTTAACGTCTAATCTTAGAGTCATGTTTTTTAAAAGTCATAGGGAAAGTGAAGGTAAATTCAATTTATAATAGCTCACAGACTGAGAACTAGAAGGGACTAGAGAGGCCAGCCAGCCCACTCTACTCATTTTGAAAGAGGCCTGTGGGGGTGGAGTCACTTGTGTAAGGTCACGCAGTCAGTAAATATCAGTGGTAGGAAGCGAAGCCAGGTCCTCTGACTCTACATACTGTTCCATCTAGACAGGTATCCTTTCTTCTGAAAGCCATGTCACTAAATTTTAGGCTGCTTGAAGTAGGAACATGTGCATTCATCTTGTGTCCCTCACCATGCCTCACAATAGGCATTCAATAGACATTAATTGGTTGGTTGAATTCTCCCTGACACAAAATACCTTTTCTTCAGTTCTTCTTAAGAACTTAGCCCTCCTCTGCTACATATAATTTTAATTTAGAATGGCCGTCTAAAAAGACATGGCTGATATGAAGATGAACTCCCCCCTGAAGTTTCTGGCTCTGTCCTGTCTGTCCCTCTGACTGGCCTTTACACAGGGGCACACCCCCATCTGTGTAGCTTCTTATGTCTTTGGATTTGGGAGCCAGCTCTTTCCCAGGAGCCCCATGTACCTCCCTCTTCTTGCTCCATCTTCCCCTTCTTGCTTTGAATGTGGAAGAAGTCAAAATCAATCAACAAGCATTAATCACGTACCTTTCTCATGCCTGGTGCTGTGATGGTGCTAGAGTCACAAACACAAATAATGCAACAAGTCCGACTTCTCAAGGAACTTACATTCATTCTGAAGTGGGAAGAAGCATGTGCAGATGATATGTGTATACCTTCTAAATACAAATGACTAGAAGACCATCAAGGAGGGAGGTCACTAACAGTTGGAGTCAAAGAAGGATATCTTGTAGAAAGTGGTGTTTGAACAGAGACTCTGGGAGACGAGGGTTGGGAGGGAGCATGTTCCAGGCCTGGGAGGCGGTCAAAGGAGAGTCATGACACCAGAGATGGAAAGCTGCATGAAGCACAGAGAGGAGGCCAGTTTGCATACCTAATAAGAGTGTGTAAAGGATGAAGCAGCAAAGATAGTGAAATGTGGAGGAGAGGTTTATTTGGGAGAAAAGATGGTGGATTTTGTTTTGGTCTTGGTGAGGTTGAGATGTCTTCAGAATATTTAATTGGAAATGTTAAGTAGACTGTTGGTGACGTAAGACTGAAGATCAGGAGATAGAATAGGGCTGGGTGGACTCTCTGCATAAAAGTGATAATTAAGCCTATGGGAGGAGCTTATAAGGTCACCAGTGGTTGCAGCTGTTAACAGTATGTCTGATCATAGGCCCCTTAACATTGTAACTTACTGTGAGGATCAGATTCTATCCATTCTTTGTAGGTGAGTTTGGTGTCCTGGTACTCACCGAACCAAAGGATGACCCAAGCCTAATGGGATGGAATCCTCCCTGAAATAGTGACCTCCTAGGTTCAGAAGCTGGACAGTTTATCTAATCTAGATGCTTCTTTTACAGATGAGCCAGCTAAGGGCACTAGACAGTTTAAAATGACTCTCCTAATGGCCTGACGGCAATAAATAGATGGTAAAGCTAAGATTTCAACCTAAGTTCTCTGATGCCACATGCTGGATTCTTTCACTACCAGTGCCTGTCCCAATATGAGAATAAACTAGTCAGGGTTCTTAACCTTGGGTAACTGTATTTCATTATAATTAATTTCCTTTACAATTCAACATTTACTTTGTGCATTTAAAGACATTCTGAGATGGGGTCGATAGGTGTTACCAGCCTGCCAGTAGGTCCATCACGCAAAAAAGTTTAAGAACTCCTGAGCTAAATTAAGAAAACAATAGTCTTTCTGTCCTTTTATGATATATTCCAGTAGGCAAATCTTATGCTTCCATACGGTTTTAAAATTAAATAGTAATAATGAATGAGAAATATTGATCTAGGAAATGTTCACAGAAAATGTTTTGGCTCCTAATGATATGTACCATCATGGGACATTTGAATGTTACCTATCGAAATCAGACCTCTAGATAGGAACAGGAAGAAAAAGCAGCAGGTTTAGCCAAGATACGAAACTTTGATTTACATGTTAACACTGTCACTTAGGCAATGCCAAGAAATATGGTTTTACAATGGAAACACTTAATTCTCAAGCTGCATATTATTTTCAAAAATCTTAAATGAAAACAACATAAACTAGTTACTTTAATTATAAACATGAGTTTTTTTTTATTGCATTTTCATTTGAAGAATTTTAGGCTCTTAGTGATGCATTATTTTTATATAAATTGTGCAGTATTTTTATCTTATTTGTGCATCCTTCATATTAAAACACTTACTCAAAATAAAGTACTTCCTTGTGGGCAGATATGATACGGTTTGGATTGGGAAAGAACAGGAGTGGGGTGTCTTAATAGTCCCATGAGATTGAGAATGATACCCAAACTTTAAAAATGTAATTCAGGTGTTGTAGTTTCCTAACACTTCTAACAATGGACTTTCCTAGCAGTATACTTTCAAATGAGATTAGTATTATTGATCACTTTTACCTGAAATCTCTTCCTTGTAACAGGATTAAATGACTTTCATAAATCAGGCTAGACAAATTCCAGATTGATCATTATGTGCCTTTCCTTCTGTTGTTTCACCTATTTTATTGTCAGTAAACATAAATTTATTAAAAGCTTTCTATGTGCCAGGCACTGTGCGAAGTGTGAGGATTATATAAAGATACAAACAATCCCTACTGTGCCATCAAGGTGCTCATTCTCACGAGGGAGGTAGAGTGCAAATAACTACACACCTCTAAGAAATATGTAGTGTAAATGTAAGTTAATTTCAGAGGGAAGACTTGGTAGGAGATGGGAGTTGGGGGACATAGAAAGCTTCCTGCAGAAAGTGGGATTTGAGCTGAGTTTTTAAAAAAAGTTATGTATTTTTATTTTGAATGAACAAACACCAAATAAAACTGGCAATTATATATATTTCTAACAGGAAGAAAGAGTTGAATGTAGAACTATAAATATCATGTACAGCTTGCCTTTTCTTTCCAAATATGTAATAGATTCAGTCTGTAGCTTTCAAAGCTATCCTACTTGTCTGTAATTCTTTCTGTCTTTCTCTTCTCTTTAACTTGAGCTGTGTTTTGCAGGAAGTCAGAGATGAGAAGGGAAAACGTTCTGGGCATGGGAGAGAGCCAAATAAAATGCTTGGAGTCTGGAGAGAATGTATCCTGTAATAGGAATGGCAAGTAAGCTAGCATAGCAGGATTGTAGAGGGGAGACAAGTGTAAGAAGAGGGGAGAGGTGAGAAGGGATCAGACTGTGAAGGGCTTTAAAAGCCTAAGGGATGATTTTGTATTTGATCCTTGAGATATTAGAGAGCCCCTCAGTTTATTGAGTGTGGGAGATCTAAATGATATGATCAGATGACACCTGGGCTTTGGGAAAATCCCTTTGGTAGCCAGCTGGAGAATGGATTGGAAAGGGGAGAGTCTTGAAGCAGGTACACTAATTAGAAGAATATTGTAATAGCCTCTGTCAGAGGTGATGGGAGCCTCTAGAGGGTGGTGACTGTCTTGAGTAGAAAGAAGAAGACTTGCAGGAGAGATGGTGTGAAGGTAGAAAGGTTGAGATTTAACAACAAATTGGATCCGTGGGATGGTATAGCTGAGGGGGGGGGGGAGTGACACGGAGGTGGGGCGATTGGCTGGATGGTGGTACTATTGAAAATAACAAGGACGTTGGGAAGAAGAGAGAGTTTTTTTGGGGAAAAGATGAATATGTTTTGAATGTGTCTAGTTTGAGTTGTCTATGAGATACCCATTTTAAGAGCAGCTTAAGAAATGGAAATGTAAGAGCTCAGCATTTCCATTTCAAAAAGAAGGAAACATATCTAAGGCCAAATTATTGGGAGGGAATTTTTGATTACTACTTTGGTGTTTAATTTGTTGGGAGATCTGTAGCCTTCTAAAATATAAATATTCCATTCTAGGTGATTTAACAAACCCATTAAGATGTACTCTTGGTCAAAATAGATGAAATGCCTTAAAACAACAACAGCAACAGCTATTCATCACAACCAAAAAAGAGGAAATAGAAGTAATTATTAGAAGTGATTTTGCCCAACTCCATGCCAATAAAACTGACAGTCTAACTGAAATAGATGAATATTTATTATTGTTGACTCATTCCAGTCTTTTCCAACTTTTTGTGCCCCTATTTGGGGTTTTCTTGGCAAAGGTACTGAAATGGTTTGCCATTTCCGTCTCTAGTTCATTTTACAGAGGAGGAAACTGAGTCAAATAGGGTTAAGTGACTTACCCAGGGTTACACAGCTAGTAAGTGTGTGAGGCCAGATTTGAACTCACGAAGATGAGTCTTCCTGACCTCACACCTGGTACTATATCCACTGTGCCACCTAGCTGCCCTTGGATGAATATTTACAAAAATATAAGTTGCCTATATTAATAGAAGAGGAAATATAATACTTGAGTAATGCTATCTCAGCTGGGAAAAATAAAATCAAACAAGACATAAATGAATTCCCTAAGGGGAAAACAAAAACAACTAAAACCTCAAGACCAGATGGATTTATGTGTGAATTCTATGAAACATTTAAAGAACAATGAATTCCAGTAATGTATAAATTGTTTAAAAAAATAGGTAAAAGAGCCCTACCAAATTAATTCTATGACACAGATATGGTCTTGATATCTAAGCCAAGGAGAGTCAAAACAGAAAGAAAACCAATTTCCCTAATGAGTATTGATGCAAAAAATGTAAGTAAAATACTAGCAAGGAAATTACAGTAATATATTGCAAAGATATATGACCAGGCTGGATTTGTATCAGGAATGCAGGGCTGTTTCAATATTAGGAAAACTAGAAGCATAATTGACCATATCAATAGCAAAAGCAACAAGAATCATATGATTATTGTTGAAAAAGCCTTCAACAAAATGTAATACCCATTCCTGTGAGAAATATTAGAAAGCATAGGAATAAATGGAGCTTTCCCTAACATAAATATTTTCTATCTAAAACAAAGAGGAAGCATTGGTGAAACAAGGATGTCCATTATCAGCAGTACTATTCAATATTGAACTAGAAATGCTAGGTATAAAACAAGAAAAAAGAAAATGAAGGAATAAACATAGGTGACAAGAAAACAAAACCATCACTTTCTGCAGATGACATGGCTGAACAAGTTATAGCGTATTAGTGCATTGGAATATTATTGTACTGTAAGAAATGATGAAAGAGATGGTTTTCAGAAAAAACCTAGGAGGACTGAAATGAACTGACGCACAGTGAAGTTCATCCAAGTTTTCCCAGATTTAATAATAGCTAGCTAATAATAGATAGCATTGATATAGTGCCAGGCAGTATTTTAAGTGCTTTATCATTATTATCTCATTTGATTCTCGCAACAACCCTGAGAAATAGATTGATATTCCATTTTACAGATGAGGAAACTGAGGCAAAAAGAAGTTAAGTGACTTTCCCAGGGTCACACAGCTATTAAGTGTCTGAGGCTGGATTTGAATTTAGGTCTTCCGACTCCAGGTCCAGTGCTCTATTCACTGCATCACTTAGTTGCCTAATGCCATATCTTTTCTCAGAAGCCATACCCTTCATCATTTCTGTAGTACAATATTATACCATCACATACTTGTTCAGCTGTTCCCCATTTGATGGATACCACCTCAGTTTCCAATTCTTTGCCACTGCATGAAGAGCTGTATTTTTGTATATCTTTAATTAAAATTTAAGAAATAATCCCATACCTTAATCTACTGTCCCTTTCTCCCATCTCGCCCTCCTTTCCCTCTTACTTCCCTATTGAATAAAATATATTTCTGTCCCTAGCTGTGAGTGTGTGAGTATGTTTTCTGATTCCCTTTGACCATTTCAGATGAGAGTGAGGTGCAGATGTCACCACCTCCCCCTTCCCCTTCTTCCTTATCTGTACAGACTTCTACTTGCACATTCTGATTATGGGAGATAAATTTCTTCCTCTACCCCCAACAGATTCCTCTTTTTCTCCCTTTCTGTTCTTCTTTTAAGATCATCAGAATATAACAAAACCGCTCTCCTAGGCTTTCTGTCTAATTAGATT